AGCTGACTCAAGATCAGGCCTGGCGCTGCGTTCACAAACACCAAAGGTCCCATGGTGAAAGAGTAGAGGGAGGGAGCTGAGTGGGTGAAGAACAACATCCTGATATTTCAATTTTTTTCGTAAAGTTTCTAGCCTTGCTTTCCCTTACTAGTCGCCAGGGGCGGACTGGGACCACAAATCAGCCCGGGACTCTCTCGACCGGCCCACTTTGATTCGTCCCAAACACCCCCGCTAGTAGCCCGTGGCTCATCTGTAATTGATACTCACGTCCACCTGTACAGGAATCCATGTGGAACTGATTAGAAACCATCAGAAATGTTTATAAAAGCTCTGTAAACTGACCTGTAACTTGTCCATCCCATATCCTGTGTGCGTCGCTTGATATTTTCATAGGTGCGGCGGCTGGTCCACTGTACACCAGCTGAGCCAGCAGCTTTAACTACAGTTTAAGACTGAAAAACCTGGTCTGCTACACAGTAAGGTTAATTGCTATGAGGGAAACGTATCTCTCCCAGATTAAGCAAGGAAACAGATCTATTTTGATTATAGTCAATATTTGCACATTTTCCTGACCTTGTTGTTTGCCTACTTTTATTGCATCCTCTGCTATTCAGTACTACTCCTTCCTTTTGAAGAAAATGTAGTTTTGTTAGATAAGGTTTAATATATTGTGTCTAGCTTGTCCCTCAAGTACACATCCTTACGGTGTATTTACTTCTTGTCACAGCACAAGTGCACACTGGCTGCTGTGTGTTTTCTAACTGCAACCACAATTTTCCATCCTCAGTCTGCCTCACTGTCTGGAAAAACAACCTGTCTGGTCAGGTCTCTCATGCAAAAGGCTAAAGTGTGCCTTATCGTCAAATACATTATTTTAAGCCTCTTAGTGCTCCAAAATGTGGTCCCAACTATTTAAAAAGTCCTTATGTCAACCCATAGGGCACTAACCAATGATGTAAACAGTGGCCTTACATGAACACCACATATGTTTTTGAAAATGTTGAACGTGTCGCCAAACATTAAAGGGGACCTATCATGCAAAATGCACTTTTGTATGTCTTTTATACATAAATATGTGTGCCCGGTGTGCCAGGGAACTCACCAAGTGTCAGAAAACACAACCCTCTCTCTTTTCCTCCATACCCAAATCTCTAAAAACGGGGCTGCAACGGATCTGATACAGATTTGAAATATCTCTTGACGTCAGAAACAAGGAGCTCCGCCTATATGGGCAACTCTCCACCTATCAGGAGGAGACAGCCACGGCCATTGCCGTTCGAAAGCGCTGGAGATGCTGTAGTACATATGCCAGGCCTGTAGGTGGCGCTGTAGTCTGCCACAAAAGCAGCGAAGAAGTCTTCTCACAGATTCAGCCCTTGCAAAAACAGGGCTGGAAAAGAGCAAATAGAGCGAAATGAGGCATGGCTAAAATGCATGATCTGTTTGGTATTTTGAAAAAAAAACTTTGCAGACATGTTTTATATAGGTATGGCCCTACAATATGTTATTCAAATATAGTATGATAGGTCCACTTTAAGCTACTTGCCTGCTTGTGAGTTCAGTACTAATTTTATATTTAGTGCATTTGTTTCTCAATACCCCCCTTTAAATCCCCAAAGAGGTAAAATGACCCAGAAGTTCACAAGACTAACAGCAAATATGAAAACTAATGTACGTATGACAAATAAAAGCCTTGAACCTTGAAGAGTACATTTGAGAATGAAAGGGTGAGGTAACTGATTAAGACTGATCCAAATACAGTTTTCAGTTTTTCCAAAGTGTTCAGCCATTGCCTGACAGTATAGGTGTGACTCGGTAGGCCCGGTGCTGTCAGACCCGCTCAGTTCTGCTCTGTGAGTGTTGGACAGGTCGACTTCCTCACTAACGAGACATGAGTTTTTCTCAGCAGGGAAAACATGAGAGAGAGAAAAGAAAAAGGGAGGGAGGTGAAACATAACCGAGGAGCTAGACAGATATTTGAGGGTGGATACTGATCGAGATATTGTGGAATATCGGCTTTCAGAAGCAAATAATGTGCTGACATTCAAACATTTTAATCTGACCCTTCTTTTCACGCCACAAAAACCCCAAACAATTACAAGTATTCAGTTTCCCTCCAGGAGTGCATTTGAATCAGGGTGGGAACGTTTCTGAAACAGGATTTAGACCGTATGGGACATGATTACTCTCCACTTGAACCCAGAGTAATGATGGTATGAGATCATTCTACTACACTCATCATACTCTCTTGCTTTTAAGTTGATGTTGAATGTTCACTGTTTAGTTATGACTTTCAATCATTTAGGTCAGAAGAACAAGCTGTACACACAACATTTGAATTTTTCACCTTATAAAGTTGATGGAAATGTTAGAAAAACAATTGCACATTTACACATCTAGCAGACACAGAGCAACGTTAGCATTCTTTTGTGCATTTCGTATATTCACACACCTTTTAGTCTTCTGTTGAAATCCTGAGAAATATACGTGGCTCTTTTAGTCTCCCTTTGCTCCGCTATGTTCACCAGACTTTGTGATTCTGCTGTTTGTTTTAGGACGGGTAGTGCAAACTGGCTTTATCCGGATTTGTTGCCAAAATATATGCCTGCTGGTGCTTAAAACCATCTTAATGTGACAGAACAGTGATGTTAAGGCCCAAACAAACCCAACTAAGGTGATCCGTAGAACTAAAGGGTTTGTTAGAGTCCACCATCCTTTACTCCTCTCCTCCCTCCATCATTACGCCTCAGTGTTTTGTGACCTCAGCTTTTCCTTCGCTCACATAAACATTCACCTCATCGTGGCGTCTGCGGGCCAAGTGTTCTCTTCTCTATCTAAACTTTACTGACATTGTTTTAGGAGATTATATCATGTGTTTTCTTTATTTGGTTAAAGCCAAAGTTAAACAATCATTTCATCCCATAATACTAAAGAGACTGTTATGGTGACAGCTCTCCTTTTGGATGAACACACACATGCAGTTTTAGGTTGCATTAAAATAGTCTGATGTAGAAATTAAAGATTTTTATCTGTTGGAAAAAAACAACTTATGGCAAATTATTTTTTTGACACATCTTGATCAGACATTGTGTGCTGCTGTTTCTCGTCTTCTCTCCCGATGAGAGGCCACACTTTTCTTCATGTTGACCTGATTCTGTGGTTAACCATAGATATTGATTCACAGCAGACATTTTGCTTTCAGATAACATTTTGCAACATTTTGTATTGGTTTGAAAAAATATATTTTATCAACTCAATGTGTGCTGTAAACTATAAATCCACACTTACAGTTATACCAATGTTTCACCTTAAAGGAGACCTATCATGCTATATTTTAATAATATATTGTTGGGCCATACCTATATAATGTATATTTATACGTTTTCTTTTTCAAAATACCAAACAGATCATGCATTTTAGCCATGCCTCATTTTGCTCTATTTTGCTCTCCTCCACCCTGTCTTTGCATGCGCTGCAGCTGACCACGCCCCCCTGCAAAGTAGGGGGGCGTGGCACGAGCGTCACGTTACCATGCTGTTACCATGCCACGGCAACCTCTCATTCCCCTGATTGGTGGAGAGTTGGCCATATAAGCGGAGCTCCTCGTCACTGATCACACTATTTTCAAATTTGTATCAGTCTGTATCAGATCCGCTGCAGCCCCGTTTTTAGAGATTTGGGTATGGAGGAAAAGAGAGACAGTTGTGTTTTCTGACACTTGGTGAGTTCCCTGACACACCGGGGACACATATTCATGTATAAAAGACGTACAAAAGTGCATTTTGCATGATAGGTCACCTTTAAACAAAACGCATTAAAGGTACAAACATTAATTGGAAGACAAGGTCACACTTAATGCTTCTGCTGATAAGCATTTTTTATCTCTTACATTGAGAATTGCAACTTCTTACGTTGTCTCAACCGATGTATTGTTTAAAGAAATTCTGTCTTAAGAACTAAACACTCATTGCCTCCGGTCTACATTTGACTATTCAACCATGTGTTTAACCAAAATAGCAAGGGCGTTATAAAGGCCTCCTGTTTGAATATGATTGGATGTCATTAGTCAGCTGATGGATAAGCAGCTAAAACGTTTCAGAGCCACTTTAAAGCTAACAAATGGTGAGTTTTTGAGACCGACGACATATATATTTAGTAGAATATAAATTTAAATGATATCACATCTGTCTAGACTCAGTCAACACACTTTTTCCACATGTCTACGATCAGAAGCGCCAGTGCAAAGTCATTTAGATGTGCTTTATTTTAGGGACAGGTCTGGAGTAACATGTGCACGCATACATTATGTAATAAAACAATGTTTTCTTTTGGGCCAGCTCCATTGGCAGTACTGACACGGCACCATGACCACAATCCAACTGTCTCTCTTCAGCTTCTCAGCAACCTGCCAAACCTCTCTCTTCCTGCTAATGAATGTGTTTCCCTGCTCTTTTCCTCCAGAGTGTTTATGCTTCTTAAACAAGTGCCTCAGGTGTGGGGTTGGGTTCCAGTTTGGGTCGTGTCTACACTTAATGACGTGTTGTATAAAATCCATTGCTGTTAGATCCAGTTATGAAAACATGACGTTAAATGCATTCTATGTGTTTTATTAAGCCATCTGGTTATATTCTGTGGACGTCATGTTTCTTATTTCAGCCCAGAGTGTATGATGACAACCTCATCGGACACACAATACTCCCACCAGCATCAGCGCACTAAACCAACAACTGTTCTCATACTTTTACACCACTGTGGGACCGAGTTCTCCCGAGTGAGCAGAGAAAACATTTGAGCAGAACAAAAACCTTTCCTTTTTATTGTGCTGAGATAGCAGCTTCACACTGACCATGCCCAGTGCAATGCACACTCCAGAGATGGGGGGGGAGATTGTTAGGCAGCTGGTTTTTCATGATTTATGACGGGAGTAATAAAACTTGTTTGTGGCTCCAGCTGAATTGGTTTCAGTCCTTTTAATGTCTGTTTTTCTCTTGCTTTGGCAGACAACTATGGTGGATACGAGAACCAGCTTTTCAAAGGTAATGATGGAGGTTTTCTATTGTCTACGAAACATCAATGTTGATCCGCACATTCAACATGATTGTCCGTAGGCTTTTCAGATTAGATCCCGTATCAATGAATAAAGGGAGGGACTGTGATGAGGCACTTATAACTAACTTAATTTTTATGTTTAGATATTACCACTCATCTCTGTTCCCCATATGCCTATAGAACAACCATTACTTCCATGATCTGGACTATGATTCTAAATGTGATGTTACAGAAGAAAATAAAAGGATAAGAACACAAAAGTGCAGTTTGAGAGATCTGCAGTGAATAATGCAACCTACTTTTGGGATTTTTTATAAAAAATGACATGACAATAAACACTTCAAATATTAAACCTTTTGCATACCAGTGTTATTTGGTCAGTTGTAAGACATCGTAAATGTTTTCCTTGTCCTGTTTTTCAGAGGAGGATTTCACTGGAGAAGAGGAAATGCCTTCATTTAGAGGTGAAGGCCACACACATACACACAAGTCTAATAACAACAAATAATGTAATCTGTGATATGTTCTTTTCCACCAATGACATGCTTTATACACACATATCTGTACATGCATGACTTGTACATACATATCTGAGTTTTCCTGCCATCGTGGTTATGCAATGCGAATACTGAATAACATTTCAGTAAGAAATAGTGCATCAACTAAATTAATTAAAAAACTAAAGTTGCAACTATTCCAACAAAACAAACAATCATCTTATAAAATATCCTGCATTGGTAAAGATTAAACTATTACTTAAGCTTTTAAAATGAGGACTGCTATCGGTAATACTCGGCTTTTTTCCCCCTTTCATTGTAAAGTAAATGTTAATACAACTTTGGGTTTTGAGGCTGTCAGATAATTTGTGAATTGTGATGACAATATTTGTATCATCTGTTATGGAAATCTTAGACCTAGTCAATACTGTGGAGATATACAATTAGAATGATCAATCAATAAACTGGTGAAACAAACAGAGTTGTCTTTCTGGATCTTTATTCGAGGCGCGTCGAAGGCACAAGCCTCACAGAGTACAGGGTAGTTTGCAGGAGTGTGGAGTGTGCGCAATAGTCACAGAATAGCAAAGCTTATATACAAGATAGGGCGGGCAGACAGAGTTTTTGTGTAGCACGGCGGAACGCCTCAGAAATCTGCTTTCACACGGATGTCTCATATTGTTATTATACACCTGTGTCCTTGAGCTGTAGAAAGTATAATGGTTATTAGAATATGGAAGTTCAAACTTTGTGTGAAGAGGAGTAGTTTCAACATAGTCTGCCAAATCAGCTCTGTGGCCTTGAAGCGCTTAAGAATAATAACCCTCATTAGAGTATGCACAGAAAACAGCATATATCAGGAAATGGTACAGTAGTGTTAGAAAATGCTTTTAGAAGCATTTGGTTTTAACATATAAGGTAACATAAGAAATTGCCACAACACATCTCTAAACAGCAACTTGTAACTTGTCTTTTGATGANAGCATGTGTGGAAGAAGCAAGAACACTAAAAAGGAACTCAACCTTGTGGGTATAACCAGCAGAGAGGAAGCCTTTTGAGCTCCATAACTGTTCAGGAACAACCTTGATAATCCCATGATATGGTGGTTTCATCACGGCAGAACTGCCGGTACGAATCTCCCTCCGCATAACAGGCATAAGCTCCGCCTCCTCTTTTTTATCGAACTTTTTAAAAAAAGAAGCTTTTTACCCAAAATCAGCACTTTTAAACAGGAAGTGAAATATGAGGCGATAATGGAGGCATGGTTAGAATGGGAATCTATTTGGTATTGTTGAGCAAAACACTTCATAGACATGTTTTTTATATATTTGTATATATCTGAGACCTATGCTATTGCCTAAAAATAGCATGATAGGTGACCTTTAAGGATATCACATGAGCGAATACCAAGTTGGATCTTCTTCGAAAATTAGGACAGCGTTACAATGCTATTTCTCTACAGTCAGCAGGTACCTAAGGTCAGGGCTTGAGACCAGGGTTGCGTTCCAATAGTCCATTTAGCTTAGGCACCTTCCTAACCAAGTGAAATGACCCGGAAGTACGTCAGTGGCAGCCATGTTAAGTGCCGTTCCAATTCTCCAAATGAAAGGAAAGGAGGTTTCAAACTTCCTTTATAACCTCCTTTAGCTTAGGAACCACTGGACCTCCCTTACCGAAAGGAGAGGAGAAAATTCTGCCCCACAATGCCTTGCAGCCGCAGCATTTGCCGTCCCACAACAGTCGGCCGTTCACGGAAACAAACGATTATGACGGAGAAGTTATATCATGAAAGTTACGGTGCTTATTAAGCATTTTAAAACGTATGTGGTAACTTGCCAAAGTGCTTTGTTTTGCACGTTCATCAGTATTATAATCAAAAAGAGAAATATGAACGTTAGTTTTTACTGAAATGATCAAGTAAAGTCAACATTTCACTGAGCTGTGTGGGGTTTGTTCAACTTTTAAAAGATGTTTGAATGGTGATGTACACAGTGATAAGGACTAACGTTTATAATAAATACATTTGTTTTGATTTTAAGATATTTTCATACAATCATAACATAAGTATTGGGATCATTTGTATTAATGTGGACCGGAGGGAGAGGGTGATGAGCATAAGTTTCACTTTCCTTTTTTATTTCAATTCCAACTTTGGTCATGAAGAATATGTTTCTCTGTTGTCCACGTTCATAAAGCATAAAACAACAGCATAAGAGCATGGTGCAGAGTCTCTAGATGAGTTTACAGTAGTCCCTCGTTCTTATTAAACATCCATGTTGTATTCCGCTGTATAGAACACTGTAGGCCTATCCATAGTTTCACCACAGCAGCAGACACACACAATGACGTCCGCTGGCGCATCATAAACACGTCGGATAGTGAAAGTGCATTCGGATTCTCTAAAGTACCGCAGTCTCTTCTCCTAAATCCTTTTGAATTCTCCTATCCACTATCCCTTAACCCCGTGACGTTTCACTCAGAGGTCCAGGAATAGGAGATAGGGTTAGAATTTAGGAGCTGATTTTTGGATTATCGGAACGCAACCCAAGAGCCTCCTGTCATCTATACATTTACATTGATTATTCTACATTGGTAAACCAAAAATCAAAGACCGTTGGAGAGCTAACGTTAGCCGTTAGCTAGCCGCAGTCATGTTCGGCTAAATACCTGAGCGATTAGCTAACAATAACTGACTTTTCTTTTAGATAACATTATTATGCATTCAAGCAATCTTGGAATGATATGTTAAAAAAAAAATTAAAATAAGCTTGTTTTTTTTTGTTCTACCATGGCATCAAATTGGGTATTGAGTTTTATTTCATTTCTTTTATTGTGTTATCCCTATTGCCAGTACCATGGTTGACTCATACAGAAACAATTATGCATTATCAAAAATAGGCAAATGTGGTGATCAATTCCATGATTAATGCATTTACGTAAGAACAAAAAGAGTAAAAACTACCAACATGAAAAAAAGGAACAACTCATTCAACCCTTAAAAAAAACCTGTTACTCAATCAATCTAAAAACAAACAACGTACTTATTTGCTTCCAGTCTCTGAACGCTAAAAGGCACTTTATTATTTTGTGACACTGGAGCCTGCACATACACCATGCTGCCATTCAAGCTTATACATCTTATGTAATGTAAACGGGCTCAGTGCATACACACTGCCATGCTCAAACAAACAAAATAGTTTTGAGATAAAAAGACATCTGAAATGAGAATAAAGCAGCTGAAGTACCCAAAAGATGTATTTTGTGTTTAAAGAGGCTTAGATGCCGCAAGTATTGACACAATGACAAAATGTTAAAATAGAAATGTATTGTGAAGATTCTTATGAGTGTTCTTGATAAAATCCACATCCCATCGAATGACCGTGGTAATTTTTAGGTTCAAACCCAATAATGAAGAAATAACTTCACTATTGTATCTGGTCTAACATGTTTGTAAAAAAAATTAAAAGGCACATGAAGACCGCAGCTTCCGAAGGTCTTTTTATTCTTCTATTTTTATATTAACGATCACAGCCAAGAAAACACTGCACAAACCCCTAAATCCATCCTGAGCTGGGCCACAAGGTTCTGTTTTCGCAATTTGATGGAGGGGGCTTAGCTGCCATAAAATGTCAACCTCCACTTCCCCTGATAAAGTTTCTCTGGCAGGCAGCGGACGGACTTCAGCAGCTGTTGCCCCCCTTCCAAAGCCCGTCTGGCTTCCCAGGTTATCCCGATTTTCACAGTTGTCTCTGAAATGTGGGTAACTGTTGGATCAAATACTGCAACTCTGCACGGCCGCTAACCGTTCAAAGCCGGACCCCGCATGACCCCGGAGGGCCGCCCATCCGCCCTGAGAACAGCTTGTTAGAGTTGACACTTGATTTTATGCATTGTATTTCTGAGAGCATTACAACTAAATCCCCTTCTCAGGCGATATGGAGGGCTGCTGTGGCAAATGCAGGTGGGGGGATTAGGAGTAGCTTGACGGCTCGGGATTTCAGAGCTTTATCTTTGAGCTTCCTGTGAATTTTAAAGCCCAATATACTATATATGCTGATAAAGATTTTGGATTCGTGTAAGATGATTAGACTGTATGTCACTGATGGTGTGCAGTTATTCCACGAGAGCAGTGAGGAAGCAGAAACCCACTGGTGTATGTGTTACTGTAAATAAAAACAATCATATTACACGCAAGATTTAGGCAATGTGTGCAGTACAATAAAACCTAATCATGTCTAACCATGAGACAATAATAAGCTTTAAACATATTTAGAAAAAAGAACTGGGTAACTAAGTACTTTTATTACTCACATACTGCACTATACCCTGCAAAACTAATTCAATATAATAATACCTCAAAAATAAATGCAGTGATTCACTCACTTTTCATATAATAATCCCAAAGTCCAAGACAGACATGACAGATGAGCTTAATATGGCCCCTTTAATGGCACATTTATTTATTTAATGTTTGAAATGCAACAACATTGATACAGATGAAGTGTAACATGTAACAACATATAACACAAAACATTTAGTAAAATAAAAATGCAGGTGAAAACAATGTTTTATTGCAGTCCAGTTATAAGCAAGCCCAAAAGTAAGGCCTAAACCAGAGCTTAACGAAAAACCCAAATTTATTTTTACAATGTAAATAAATGCGGAAATGATCTCCAACCAAATGTTCAGCTCACCCCAAACAATGCCATAGATTAGAGATTCTATAACATTAATCCTTATTGGGGAAAAAACACAAGAAATAGATGTGACCCAACCAGAAATCCTGCCAATAGGGGAAATGTAAGAAATTAGCACCCGACCCAGCCAGAGTTGGGTTTAATTCGGGACTGTCAGCATGTCAAAGCTCTAATAAGTATACCACCAACCAGCACCGTAACAACAACAGCCACTCCCCCAGCTATTGATTTGACCTTTAAAAGAACTAAAAGATATTCTATGAAGTCATATGCTATGTCA